GTTTCATCGTTGCTATACTGCACCCTGACTGGCTCATCTCCCTGTGACCCTTCTGTAAGGGGATGTCCAGTTGCCACAGATGGGCTTTGGGTCTCCACTCCGCCTCCTAGTTCTTTCCTCTCTTTCTTTTTACTTTCCTCTGAAGACAACATTTTTTTAATGTAATGAAACAAAGTGTAGTTCTTCAAAAAGTAACTAAGAAGAGCATACAAATTATTTTTTCTATTCTTTGTTTCAGACAAAGAAAGAAGAGAACAAATGTTCCTGGTCACAGGCCTTGTGTTAAATATAATTTTACAGTTAGTTTTTCACTCATTCCATACCCAATAAGGAATAAATCAATACTTCTGGATGATTTGTCAGAAACCTGGGTTTACTCACGTATCTGTGTAGCCAAACATTTCCGTGAACATCGGTAGGTCTGAAAGTTCAGAGTTCAAGGGATGTCTGGTTTTAGTCTACAGAATTACATTTTATCTTTAAGGAAAATGGTTAATGCTCTTTAATGATCACTGCAGGGTGATAAGGAACCTGGGTGGCTCATTGGTTGGTGTGTGTGGCTTCTATCCCAAAAGCTGGTGATTCCAATCCCTGGACACTCCAGAGGAGGAAGGTGTGGAAGTCATCTTATACTGTGGAGCAGTATAAGTTGGAATCAACTCAAAGGCAGCAGGCTTAGATGATCAGACTTAAATAAGCTTAAACTACTTCAATCATCCTCTCACTTATACTATTTAAATCATCACCTAAGTATGTTTTTGTTAACTTTTAATGATATATATGTTTCATGATTTTCCCCTTTACATATGGTATTCATCAAAGCTATCCATATTTCCCAGATGATATGTTTGGATAAATTATTCTTGCCTACTTTTGTAATTTAAATACATTTATAATAATAAAGTAGTTTCAGCTAAAAAGTAAACTTTTCAAATCCCATGAAAGACAAAAGAATGGAAAAAGTGGGAGAATAGGGAACTTATCCAAGAAAAAGAGAATTCAGAATATAAAGAAAAATCAATAATCAAATATAAGTCTGAGAAAATATACAACATAGTGAAAACTCCATACTAAAAAATGACAGGAAAAATTTCTGGCCCATTTGTAGGCCACTGGACATTCCCTTACAGAAAGGTCTTGGGGAGGAGATGAGCCAGTCAGGGTGCAATGTAGCAACGATGAAACATACAACTTTCCTCTAGTT